AAGGCACGCTGTGCGTTCAAAAATGGTGATATGTGCAGCTCAAATACTCAACATGGCGAATAACACGAAAGTGAGGGGGAAAAAGCAGAAAAAAATCAGCCTGAAATGCCTCGTGTAGAAACTCACGCCGATCCGCATTTGTATGTACTACATAAGGCGAAATATGGGCGTGGTTAGACGAGTTTTTACCTCATTTTGGACCAAGGCTCATCCTCCCATTCTTACTTTCTAAAACAATGGGGCTCTGTGGGGAGGGGGGGGGACGGGGTGAGGGAAAGTGAAGGTTGGGCGATTTGCCTACTGACCAGTGAGCTGGGCCGTGACCTTGTCGCGAATGGATCTTGGTCGAAATGGTCGAATCTTTTATGTCTGGACTACCATGTCCGAAGAAGGCGTCTGAACATGAAATGAACTCGGAGCGGGGTCTTTCAAAGACAGTCCCCGCGACTAAGGGTACCCCGGCAACCCCGACGCTTAAAGCCGACTAGCGTCCCGAAAATGTTCGTGCATTTATACATCGTTGCCTTGAGCTCGCAGCGACTGTAGCAGTGTCGTCATCGAAACGACGAGCATCCACCGCCAACCGTGATGCTGATTTTACAGTACTTGCACCCACGCATTACTTTTCAGCACTGGCAAGGGAAAACCGGCGTACAAGGGAATGCGTGCGTACATAAGGTTGCCGGGGAATGACAGAGCGAAGATTCCTCTCTCCTCTTGCCGGAATCTTGCACCGTGTGAATCCTGGCTGATCGGCTTGCCGACTGTCACGGCCAAAATGTTCTGAAAACGCCGGCCCCTGCGCGGGCGGTTTTCAGATTGCTCCGAGGCTTTTTTCCTTATTTTCTCTACTGTGGTCATTAATTATGGCGCTAATTGGCCTTATGATTGGAGATCTACTACCCGTAACACTTGATTGCGGACCGTGCCTTCAAGTGGCATTTGCAAAAGTGGAGAACTAAAAATTCCTTAGAGCACTAGGGTTCTAAGCTTGGAAACGGTTAAAAAACACTCCCAGTCTGTATGAAAAACTTTCTTGATGGGAATCACGAGGGGCTTTTAGCCGTTCCTTGGCAGCATCAATTACAGTCTTGTTCGCTGAGGATGATGGGACGTGTACGGAGGGCTGGGTTTGCCAACCCATTCCCTACCAGTTATGAAAGGCGGTGAAAAACCCCATATGATCGGTTGAAAACAGGAGAGTGCCATGCCAAACCCAGCCCCCTGACACGGCGCAGTACCCCCAGCGAACAGGACTGCATGGATAAGCCATGAAAAAAGGAAATGGAACTTGAAAAGTGTTAATAATGTGAAATACGTACCCGTTCGATCAACTTCCTTGCAAAGTCTTATAAACACGGGAATCGGGCGTAAAACCTGGAAAGTTATCTCTTAATTTCTTGGCAATCTCTTTCATGAATTCCTAAAAAAGACATAATTTTTGGTAGTTACATGATGTGTGTATCTAGCGGTTCTCACTTCAACATTCACGCCATCGCCGAGAACCACTGCAGCCATTCCAGCTCGCCCTTCATTTTTCCCAACTTCAACACCGTATACAGTCGCATCGATCACACTACTCATCAGTGGTTGAAGAATGCCCTCTACTTCTGTCGTTGATACATTCTCACCTTTCCACCTGAAAAAGCCGGTTCACCTCTTATACCCTGCATCATAAGCTCTGAAGCTAAATGGTTTATTAATATCCCGCGCAAGTTGGGACAACTTTAGTGAAACTTTCTTACAGCGTCAAACATGAAGCCAATACAGTCTGACAACGCTCATTATAAACAAGAAGGTCTCATACATTTCCTCTACATCAGAACATGACTGGAAGGTACCAACCCAGTCAACACTACTGAGATCTACTGATTGATAAACTGAAAGTCAGCCTTACTGAGTTCTGTTTCGGTATAGACTCCTTTACGCTCAAAGCCTAACCGTAAACGATTAGCAAGCAGATTGAAGCATGGTCACTTATTGCCACTGGTCGCAATTACCTGAAGTTCAGAGGGCACTAGTCAACTATTACTGCCCAAATTCGCGGAAACCGACTCGGACACAAATCAAAAAAAAATTTTTTAATTTTTTTTCCTGAAGCTTTTCTCACAGAGGTAATTCGGAGGTCCTAATCACGATCTATAGCACATAGCGTTATCGGCGCTGGCGCCGAACTAGCGCCAGTTTAGCGCCGCCACCTTTCTCACCAAATTCGGTGTAAATTTGCATAGTAGACTTATTTGATGCCCTGATCACGAAAACCGAGTTAGTTTTCAGCAATGACGCCAGTTGTTCGGCGCGGCGTAAAAGGCGCGTGTGTTTGCGGCGCCATACCGGCTCTTATATAAGAATCGATAAAAAACCAGGCCTGCATAATGGCCCGGTTTGATGCCGCTGATTCACGAATATGACATTCTATTTTCCGCAACCAGCTCACCATATTAGCCTTTCTGAAGCTGGGCTTAGGAGACAAGAGGTGATTTCCGTGCAGTGCATCATGGCTCCAGCCTATAGAGAGCGCAGATGGACCGCACGTCTTCATCAGCGCCAGCGCCAAAAGAATGAATGTGATATATGTGGCTAAGACAAAGATGTCAAACAACCTCCATATCACAAGTTTGGCAGCGGATTTGGTGCCGCGGCGTGGCGCGGGCGCCAAGCGATTTCAGGCCAAGTGGATGTGACATTTGTGTTCAGGTCGAATCACCTCCAGAACCCAACTTTCAGCCAAATCTGCCCCCGTAGAAAAAAGACGATCGGTTTTCGGAAATTTGGGGTAGTAATAGTTGAATAGTGCCCTCTGAACCTTCAAGTAATTGCCACGCCAGTGGGCAATAGTACCATGTTCAAACTGTTTCGTATCTTTCTACGTTACTTTGAGCCGTAAGGAGTTATACCGCAAACAGCTACTCGAGTAGGGCTGACTTGATCAGGTTCTATCAAATCAGTAGATCTCAGTACAGTGTTGACTGGGTGTTACCTTGCATCATTTCTGCATGATAAGAGGACACTGTATGAGACCTTCCCTTCGGTTTATTAAATCAAGCACTGTGTCTTCATGTTTCTCCCTGTCAAGAAAGTTTCACTAAATTGTCCCAACTTGCCGGGACATTTAGCTTCTTCCTTTAACACCAGAATACAAGCATACAACAAAAGCCGTAATCACAAATTGTGAAGAGGACTGGAAATTATGGGCTGGAAGGACAGTCCTGTCAGTGTTTTTTCAAAAGCTTACAGTTTTTGATTCTCGATGCTCGTACATGAAGTAATATGCTATGCTTGTAGGACACTCTGGGAGCTTTCCTGCAAGAGGCGTGTGAGGAGGGCGCCTGCTCTTCCGCTGCAGTTTATTACGATTGGCAGTTTCACGGGTAATCTTCGGGTCACTCATCTATTGCTAATCAGCGGGCCGCGTCACTGAGGCCCGACAGCCGTCGCGCGTAACATGAACAGTGCATTGGGAGAGGACACCACTACCGTTAGGATCGTTCACTTTTGGTTCGCTTGCTTCGCGAGAAGAGACGCGATCCTCGAAGACAAAAACCTTGGTCTGGACACGGCCCCCCCCCCAAGAAGTATAAGAGTCCACCATTCTCGAAGCAGACAAGGGGGATCCAGAGGCTACCACCCGCAGTCTTGCGACAAGACTCGGATGTACCTAATGACAGTCGTCCACCGCCTGTAGGCCCCTGAATACCAAAAACTAGTGGCTCGATGGAACACTCATACTTTGACCGATGGCACGCTGTGCACCCGGGTTCCCTTTGATCAGTCTCCCCTTCTCCGCCCTCGTCAGAAGGAGTTTCCGGGAGACTGCTCTGTGGGGATGAGAGATGGGGCCTACGACTGCTTGAGAGCGGGGACTGTCTTTAGGTCTGAAATGGCATCTGACCACTCTGACCTTGATTTTTCAGGCTCCGACAAAGGCGACTAACATAAGCCGAAACCGCGAGCCAAGTAAAGCTGTGTTGATATTAAGGCGGCAGTTTTAGCATTTGGTCAAGAAGACCTCACACGATGCCAATGCTTATTGAGAGTCGATCATGGATATTCTTATACGAAAAGATGCAAGCCTTTAATAACCCTCCACCGTCACGAGGAAGTGGAGACGGACTTAAGAAAGTCTGTTTGCGGGGCAGCTCCGCAGTTTTCAGGTATCGAAACATTTGCTCCAATAATGGGCTACAGCAGCCGTCCAGCTCCATTATGGTTCACCGTGGGGTTCTTCTCACGGCTTGATCCTGTCACCACAGCGGTTGTCAAGGGCCCCAGGACGTCAGGCACGTCAATGCTATAACTCTGGTGATAAAAGGAACGGAACTAATGTCCGAGTTGAATGTCCCGAGTGCCAATTCCACCACACCTCGAAAAGTTAGATTTCCGGATACGCTCCACGAGAAGATGGTCCTTTTTTAGCAATCCCGTCCTTTGTGAATTCATTTCTTCTTGTTCCTGCTTGGCATTAAACCCACTCGCTTTTCGGGTCAGCTGATATGGTATAATGACGTCACTCTTCCCGACTGAATCCCCGGTTGGAGGGAATGCCAGCTTCAAACAAAGTCTATGCGTCACTCACAGCCAGCGCTGTTTGAAGTCTTTTTTAGGTCGCCCCCTGCCCTCCCCCCAATTCCCCTCCACCTGCATATGAACTGTATGCATAATGAAGTACTTCAATCATGAATGGTAAAGGATGAACATCACCAAATCACTACGACCACGAAAATCCTCCCACTGGGGTGCAAAAAAAAACACACATGAAACAGTCTGCTCGCTACGAATGATGGGGCGTGCCAATGAGGCTGAGTCTGGCGCGCCGCGCGCCAACCCATTTTTACCTGTTGTTGAGACGGGTAAGCGACAACAATTGGTGGTGGAAAAAGTCTTACGTGGAGCGCCGCGCCAAACCCCTCTCCCAGTGACAAGTCCCATTATCCACACCGAGCAAGGCACTACAAGTGTCAGAAGTAAAGCGAACAAAAATTTATAGTGTGCGAAAAAACCTACCTGAACGTGTCACCTCTCCTGTCCTTGAAATATAAATAGCCAAGTTTATCCCAATACAAAATGTCACCGCTGGCAAATACCTGAATTTTGCCAATTGACTACTGTTACACAAAAGCTAGTCGAATACAAACATAGAGACAAACGTTATGCACTGGTATTGATTTCTCAAGCTGAGTACTACCTACGTTTGAAGATAGTTCCCGTGGTCCGCGAAATGCCTCTGTGCATTTGACATCGTTGTCCGCATTTGCACAGAAACTACCACTTTTGTCCGGCGACATAAAAAAGCTAGGGACGCGTGAGTGTTGCAACCATCACTACTTTTACTCTGCGAGACAACGGCTTACGAGCGGAATTGCGTGCGTACATAGCGTTGCCTGGAGCGTCGTAGGGCGATTTCCTGTGCTGCCGGGAATTGGTTGCACGTCGAATCCTGCTGATTGGGCTTGCCGACGTCCGACAAACTCGTCCAAGGCACCGGCCCCACTGTTAGGGGGTTCTCTGTACAGAATGTTCCCAACATATCGTAGATTCCCAAGGTTTTTTTTCGCTTCCTATCTACTGGGGAGTTACTTATGGGCTACTGGTTCATGACTGAGCACCTACTTCCCGTAACACTTGATCGCGGGAATGGTCTTTAATCACCAACAAAACAACATCAATCTAAATCTAACCTGATCACCATGCGCGAACACATCACGATAGATTTTCTTCTCAGTATCACCTTTGTCCACGTAGCCTTCAAACTTCAGCAACAGGTCCTTCTTGATCACGCCAACCATTTCTCCAAGCTCACCAGGTCGACATGGTACGCACAATCCTTTCTGCAATGACACATAACATAAAAATGAGTAAAAAAAACTAAATGTAACCGTTTACTTACAGCATCACGTATCAGTTCTCCGGTCTCTTGGTCGACTTTAATAAGGCGTACGGGGTAAAGACCCCCGATATGCGGGTAGATTGGGAAGAAACCACATGATCCAACATGGTTGTCAATATTCACTGCAAATATTATTAGAATATTCAAAGCATAGGGCGTGGACTCTCGGCAAATACGAAACACCGCAATATAACTGAACACCCATCAAGATCGTATATAACGTAAAGGACTGAAAGGATAAAACTTAAGGCGTTTGTTACTTCATTCATGGGATACGCCACGCATTCTACATCTGCTCAACCGCGGTGGCAAAGCAACCGCAATCTGGCCGACACAATCCAGGTACCCATTCACCAGTCTAAAAGGGTTAGGGAACTTGGTTGGCCTAGACGGGAACTTACCAAGTAATTCGACTTCCAAATCACGCTACAAAGGAATGAAAACTTAAAGGCAGTTGGCACGATGGTTTCCTACTTAGCCTAAAATGCTAGTAGGGCGCTGTATAGTGGGGAAATGGCGAAAGAACGGAGTGAAACGGTCAAAATCCTGCGAAGAAAAAGCCTCCGTTCTCAGTGACTTGTAAATCGATTTCGGACGAGTTTCCCGTAGGCATCTTACCAATCACCGCTACCGAAGATACGGCTGCATACCTTCGCTTCATAATTTGCTTAGCAAATGAATGAATACGAGCGTCAGGAACGGTCGTCCATTTGTGGGCGGGCGGGCGTGGTGGGCGTTGGGTCGGAATGTTGTGGCTTGATAGGGCCCTTATAAGGGCACCTTCCTTGGAAAGGCGCTATGCAGCGCCTGCCCAGGGTCGCGGAATTCTATCCTGCCAGGAGTATTGATCCTAGTCGTCTTGGGGGATTTATCGTGCCAACTGCCTTTAAGGCTTTCTAATTGAAGGCGACACCCATGGCCACCCTTTCGCAGATTTCAAGGCTTACAATCATTTGATGAGGTAAGCAAATCATTAAAGGCAGCGGGCACGATTGCTGGAGGCGGGCGTTTATTGCCAGCGTCACTGGTGGAAAGGTGTTGGCCACCTCCCCCCCCTCCCTCCCACGAAGCACTGAGCAATTCGGCCAGTTGCCATCCTTCAGCCCTTCCACCAACGACGCTAGCAACAACTGCTCGCTTCCATTGAATGCGATATGCCAGTACAATGACATCTGGACCAGTCAATGCACAAATTAGTGTTTCTACGCAAGACGAGCCTGGTAGTGAATTACTCGCTCGCTCCAGAGCAGAGAGATGGCGTGCTTGGCTGGCCCGGACCAACTGGAATTTGACCCTTCTATCGGGTTGTTTGCAAGCGGCCCACCTATCACCGCTCCACCTCCGTGCGATACAGTAGACAGCGCAACCTGGATCGAAGTAGGACGCACAGGATTTCCTGGATTCACTTTGGGTGAGCCAGAGACCAACCAACAAGTGGTGAATACAAAGGATCGTGGGGGACAAAACTGCGTCAAAGGTCAAGAAGGGTGTGAGGGTGAAGGGACAAAGGAAGGGCACTAATGCATAGCTCGTGGTAAAGACGAAAAAGGAATAAAAAGATGAATGGACACAAACTGGAGCATTCATTGTTCTATACACAAAAAAAATCCCGACTTCACTTATTGACCAGGGACCTTGCTGGGAGAAAGAAACATTCACCCCACTCACCAATGTTCGAATTTCCTTCAGTAGAGCCATAAAGTTCACCAATGCGTTGAATTCCAAATCTCGTCACGAATTCGGTCCAAATCTCAGCACGTAGCCCATTACCCCACATGAGGCGAACGCGATGTTTCTTTTCTTCTTCGCAAGGTTTCTGGGCCAGCAGATACCTGAAAGTTTATCGAAATCAGAAATTAGGAAGGGCACGCAACACCTTATTTTAGCAGTCTTTTCACGGGAAGAAAGAGACCAACCTGCAAATTTCACCAATGTATTGGCTTGCAGTACAATTGTATTTGACACAGTCCCTCCAAAAGTTACTGGCCGAAAACTTCTTACGAATCACAGCCGTGGTTCCGAATACGATCACCGAGCCAATTCCTGGAAGGGAAATCAGTCAGCTCGCAAAGGTGAAAGTCTCCGGTTCACGCCCAAATTTCAGCCAAAACCCTTTAAGGGCAAAACCCGCGATCATTCGCCATCACAGATAGTGGATTAGGGGTTCGCATACAGACGACAAGGTGCTGAGTAACTCGATAGTGAAGAAAAAAAGCAGAAAAACATTCACCTGCCCTAGATAGAACCCCATTTCGATCCCAGTTTGTACGTGCCCATGACTCCATCTCCAACACTACGCCCTCATCCGCACAGCTGATTCCCGATAAGAACTCTACGACCGTACAAGTGACGATTTTCATGCTTTTTCGTCCTGCAGCTTCGTTTTTCACTGAAAGGCGGAGTCTGGAGGCGGAGTCACTGGAAAAAAGGAGGCGTCACTGAACCTATATTGCGCTATAGCCCCTCCCTTACAATTTTTTGCCGCGAAACCGGTACAAGGTTGTTCGTCGCGGACCACACTACCCTCCCAACGCCATATTTTCAACTTCTATACCTGATCGCGGACCGTGCCTTTAAACACCAAGTGGGTTAAAAACTTGTTAGAACGGTATTCTACCCATTGAACACGAATATCACATTTGTCCGACGCAAAAACGAGTAGCGCGTGGCCGTGACAAAAAGTGGTCTGTAACACCTGCGCATGTTGCTTGGGCGCCACACGGTTTCACTCCGAGCGGAGACAGTACTCGTTTTCCTGGATAAGACTGCCTCGTGGGGACAGGACAGGGGACAGAAAAACCAACCGCGACAAGAAATTTTTCAGCAAAACAGGGCATGAATTTTCAATAGTGCACCAGTAATGAATGGGTAGAAAGTGCCAGTATTCCCAGATTGAAGACAGTCCCATAAGAGGCCCCTGATTACCCTTCACTACCCGGCTTTTCGAAATTCGAGTGGGTTTTTCCTCGTGATCTGCCATTAAGACTGGGAAGGGAAAAAGATTTTTACAAGAATATACAGCCGTTGTAGCGAAAGGGGCCTACTGCGTGTTTCGCCTGGCCAGTCTGGAGCAGCTGCATAATTTCCAAAGCTTAACACCTGACTGTCGGTTTTAGGAGACAGTGGCACCAGAACGTGAGAGACGTTAGCCGTTCAACGTTTCGTACAACGTCGCCATAGTCCACGATTTATTTTTTCATGGCCCGACCTTACAAGTCAACTTGAGATCGCCGGTACGACCAATTTATGGTTGTTGTTTCTTCTTTTATTACCCCCCCCCTCACCGTTTTATAGGAGGGCCATCAGCTAGGAAGGGGCGGTAGAACCAAGTGTTTGTGCATTCAGCGTGGATTTGTGCTCCCTAAACCAGGGAAGTCCGCCCAACCTTACATTGGAACTTTTAATGGAGACCTGGCGGTAGTATCGATAAAAGTTCTATTAGGTCCAATTACAAAGTATAGAGTGTTAGGCAAAACTCAACCTGCGCTTCACAAGCGACTTATAGAGCACTAGACTTTTGTAATAGTGCAGGCTGGTTGTGAGCTGTTGAGGCATAGGCGGATGGGAATCGATGTGTCGAATCTGAATCGTGGTGGTTCAGTGGTTAAGTGTCGACGACTCGATTCGCCACGTATCGCGGCATTCCTTCGCTTATGGCCTTCACGAGCCTTGCCACCAAGCCTCCACCCTACTGCACCATTACAAACTTTACCTGCTCATAAGTTGCTTGTGAAATGCAGGTTGCAGTTTTGCTATCTATATTTGTAAATAACCTTATAGACTCTATCGATCTACCCAGGTCTCCATTCAAAGTTCCATGGTAAGTTGGCGAACTTCCCCGGTAAGCAAGTAATCCCAACTGCGAATGAAAAACCTTATTAGCGCGACTATACAGCTCCTGTCATCTGCTTTATGGTGAATCTGACCGTACCTGTACAAAAAGGAAAGCAGAATTTGGATCTCTTCTGATGCAAGCAGTAGTAATAGTAGTAAAGTCCATGCAAAGTATGGTTTGATAAGTATCACTTTTAACCAGGGAAGGTTGTCAGGTCGAAGTGGCCGTTTGCAATGAGATGTAGCTCACAGGACGTGGTTTCCAGACGCTGATCTCAAATCTGCCTTCGAAATTTGCAGAACGATTCCCAGAACGGAGTTATGAAGCTTTTTCTTTTGCGTCTACCGAGCAACAGGTCACTAGATCGGATCCCTGGTGGATTTAATTTTTTTGCTTTTCGTAATAACATGGCAAAATGTGGTTGCAGCGTCACAACTGCAGCACTGCTCACCTTAGCTTGTTTGAAAAAGTGTTTGCGGGCAGTTATTACTTGTTATCTACTGTAGTAGAAGAACGTGGGAGCACAGGTGCCCGTGCCGCACGATACAAGCGTTTTCGCGCTAAGCTAGTTTTATACTCGTATTTAGCCGGTCAGGCTACGTCTAGGTACAAGTTTCCCGCCAAATCTGGCATTTTGGCCTACTTCGAAAAGTGAAGCATTGTTGGGGTGCAGTACAATTCATGTTCTCTTGCCATTTCTGACACATTCATTCTGTTATTGCTCCAGTTTTCCTAGTATCCAAAAGCAAATTCAGAGCAAGACCAGCAATCCATAACAGAGTAACCCTAGAACAACTGGTAGACCATCATTCTATCAAGTGCTGCCTCACTTTTCCGAAGTTAGCTCAAAACCTTACACTTTGCTAGAAATCTGTTCCCAGGAGTAGTTTTGCTCCTTGAACATGACTGTGCCACCCATTTGGCGCAAAAACGTTCTAACGTGCGCTACGGGCACCTGTACAGAAATGATTTATTGTAAGAC